GCGGTGCTAGGCGATGAGAAGGTGGTTCGACGTACTGCCAGAGGCTTTGTGACCAGCACAAGCAGCACCAGCCGCAGCAGCAGCAGCAGCAGCAGCACGTTACTTCCTTCAATTCAGAGCCTCAAGATAAAAGAGATGGATGTTGAGTCTTTTGGTCCGTCCCTGGGTCAACTATCCTCTTCACGCAGCTGAAACTTCTGGAAATGGACAGGCTTGAATCTCTCCCTGACTCCATCGCTCACCTCTCACAGTTGCAAAGGCTTCGGGTTGATACGGCTTTTAATCTAAAAGCACTGACCGAGACCCTTTGGGGGCTTGCAGGGCTGCGTGTCTTGCAGCTGGTTCACCTGTACACGATGCGACAGCTGCCCGAGTCTCTTGGGCAGTTGAAAATGCTTGAGACGCTGGATATTATTGATTGCTACAAACTAATGCAGCTTCCACAGTCCTTCGTGAGTTTGTCCAAGCTACGATCGTGCTCCCTTATCAAGCTCGGGATCCCATACATTCCGGATGAGATTTGGAAGCTTTCTTCCCTCCGAAAGTTGCTGATTTTGGGACTGAGGCAGTTGCGAAGCTTGCCGGATTCGTTTACCCAGCTGCCTTAGCTTAAGGTGCTGCAGGTGGTTGCGTGCAATAAGCTGGCTCGTTTGCCGTCCTCTCTCCGGAGAATGCCGACATTGAGTGAGTGCTACATCAGTGAATGCCCTTTGCTCTCTCGTCGGGACACGAGAGGGGTTCCTGCAAGGAGAGAGGAGGGAGAGGAGGGGGAGGGGGAGGGGGAGGGGGAGGAGGAGGATGAAGAAGGGGAGGAGGAAGAGGGAGGGGATGCGGAAGAGGAAGAGGGGGAGGAGGGAGCCGATGTGGCGGCGGGTGGGGAGGCAGTGGAGGAAGACGAGAGTGGGGGTTATGATGATAATATTGATCATGAGTATGCCTTGGACAATGATTTTGACGACGATGTCAGAGACTGGGGGAACAGTGATGATGACTAGATGAATAGGTGAGACTGGTGGGTTGGAAGTTGGGGACGAAATCATGTATGAAAATAGGCTGTGGTTGTCAATGGAAAGGTTATGTGTTGTTAGCGCTCCTTACCAGATGCGTGCACTCAGCTGCAGTGTGATTTAGAAAAGTGCCACTGGTACCTAAAACACAGGGGCACACTTTCTTCTAACGCCTTGTAAGGTCATATACGTAAGCGCAAAATACACGTTTTCTAACCTTGTAACAGTAATATGTACCTTATTTTGCTCCATTCTTTACACTCCTTGCGTATTTGCGAATAACAACTCGCTGCTTATCACAAATTTCTTACACTACTCGCTGGAATCGCATCCACAAACGGGTACGCCATCACTTTTCTGGCGGAACTCGCACAAGCGCACGTCGGGTCACCAAGAGACACACAATTGGGGCTCGCGAAAGCACTGTGGGCAATCCTCGAAAATCGAGATTGAGGTTCGTCATTTTGTGCCCTACATCGCCGACCATTTCGCAAGTACGGTGTTACGTGGGAGCATCTGGCGGGAATGGTTCGAGAAGAACGAGCGTTGTGTAACTGACAACCTCAAGGTTTTCTTGTTGGTTTGAGCGACCGGACCAGACCCTAGCGACAGCCCTGGTTGAGAGAGATGCACTCCGTGATCCTCGGGGGAATGATTTCACGAGTGATTCCTTCCCCCTTTCAAGCTCACAACAACCTTGCTATTAGACGATTAGGACTCTCGTTACCTGATTAGTAGCAGAATCAACAAGCTGAACAGATAATCATTCACTATTTTCTCCGCCTTTCACAATGTCAATCGGATCGCCGATTCAGCGACTACCTGAGGAGCTTCTTTCTCGGATCCTACGTTTTCTGGTTCGACCTGATGGCCTGCCAGAGCACGCACTTGTTAGCAAGCAATGGCATCAGATCGCGTGCCGCGTGCAATACGAGCTCCGTTTGCCCCATGACATCCGTATGGATCCGCCTCGGCTTGTTCAACTTCTATCCTCGTTCCCTAACCTCGAAAAGCTAATCCTTTCCTCTTGCAGCCTCACCTCCATCTCCAAGTTCTTATTCTCTCACCTCGCTAGCTCGTGTCGCCATTTGACCCAGCTTCATGTCGAAACGATGTCACCTTGGACTAATAAAAGAGATGTAACCGAGAAGAGCCTCATTGCGCTGTTCGAAGGGTGTACGCGGCTGGAAGATCTCTATGTGTACTGCTCGACGAATGCTGCCATTCCCACGTCAATCGGCCGACTTACTTCCCTCAAGCACCTGCACTTCGTGGGAAGTGGAGTCACGCGTCTTCCCGACACACTGACCTCGTTACAATCTCTCAAAAGGCTCGTGCTGAACACTTATCAGCTCGAAGCTCTGCCTCAGAATTTCGGCAATCTGGTTTCTTTGACGTCGCTGGAGCTCCACCATAGCCGCTTGGCGACACTTCCGGAATCTTTTGGGCAACTTACCGCTCTCAACCGTTTTTCCTTAAGTGGCTGCTCTACGCTGCAGCTGCCGACCTCTTTCACCGAGCTCTCTTCTCTCGCCGTCCTGGAGCTCCGAAATTGCAGCATTCTTCCTCCGTCGCCGGCCGATTTCGGTCAACTGGGGGCGCTTGAAACCCTCATTATGGTTGAAGTGAGGGGAATGCGCGACTTGATTGTGGATCTGGAACATTTGCAACGACTGAAGACTCTTTTATCAACGGCTGCAGTGACATCACGACTCTGCCCGTGTCTCTTCCCCGCCTGCCTGCACTCACCGATATAACCCTTGACATGGGACAAATTTCAGTGCTGCCTGAAGATTTCGGGCAGTTGTCTACGCTACGGAGACTCGTGCTAAATCTGCGAAGTCTCACAGCCTTACCTGATTCCATCGCCCTGGTTACCACTCTTCAGAGATTTCCCTCATTTCTCTTCTCAATCTGACACATCTGCCCCAGGAGTTCGGTCAGCTGTTTGTTTAGAAAAGCTGTATTTGAAAGACCTCCGACAGCTCACGCGCCTGCCTGAAACATTCGGCAGTTAATTGCTCTTCGGAAGCTGAAAATAGTGGAGTGTAGGCAGCTGCAGCAACTCCCGGACTCCCTATCCCAGCTGACTTCTCTCGAGCGCCTAGAGATCAACATGTGTCAGAGCCTCACGGTGTTGCCAGACGCCATGGGGAAGGGTCTGCACTCCTTGCGCCACCTGCATCTACTGGACTGCACCGCTCTCACCCACCTCCTCCATCCTTCTCCGGCCTGACATCTCTTGAAACGCTCAAGATTGCTCACGCGAAACGCTTCAGGGGCGCGCTGTTAGACGGCTTTGGCTGCTTGAGGAGCCTCAAGGAGCTGTCGCTCGATTCCATGCCACACCTATCCTCCCTCCCAGCTTCATTCTCTGGCGTTGATTCCCTCTCCAGGCTGGAAGTTGGAAACTGCCAAAAGTAACGGTCCTGCCAGAGGGAATCGGACGGCTGGTGGCGCTCGAGGCGGTCAGAATCTTGGGATGGGCGGCCTGATATGTCTCCCTCCGGCGCTCCTTGAGCTGCTAGTCTGAGGGCGTTGGACGTGCGGGCATGTGATTCACTAAGTGGGGTGCTAGGCGATGAGACGGTGCTTCAACGCACTGCCAAGGGCTTTGTGGACTAGGCACTGGCAGCAGGAGCAGCAGCCGTCCTCTGCTTCCTTCCACACAAAGTCTGAAGATCAAAGAGCTTAATGTGGAGTCGTTCGGTCCATCTCTCGGTCGTCTACCCTCATTGACGCAGTTAAAACTTTTAGATCTTCACAACCTTGACTCTCTCCCCGACTGCATCTCCAACTCTCGCAGCTGCAACGGCTTAAGGTTGATTCGGCCTACTATCTGAAAGAACTGCCTGAGACCATCGGGGGGTTTGCAGGGCTGCGTGTCTTACAGCTGGTTGAACCTCATCTCAATGCGGCAGCTGCCTGAGTCTCTTGGGCAGCTGAAAATGCTCGAGACGCTGGAGATTATCGACTGTTACAAGCTGATGCAGCTCCCAAAGTCGTTTGTGAATCTACCCAAGCTACGATCCTGCTCTCTCATCATGCTTGGAATCCCAAGCATTCCGGATGATATATGGAAGCTGTCTTCCCTTAAAAAGTTGCTGATTTTGGGGCTGAAGCACTTACAAAGCTTGCCAGATTCGTTCACTCTTCTAACTAAGCTGGAGAAGCTGGAGGTGATCATATGCAAGAAGCTGACTCGGCTGCCTGCGTCTCTCCGGAAAATGCCAAACATTGCGTGAGTGCGACATCAGTGAATGCCCTCTGCTCTCCCGCCGTGACATGAGAGGGGTTCCTGTAAGGAGAGAGGAGGGAGAGGAGGGGGAGGGGGAGGAGGAAGAGGAAGGAGGGGATGCGGAAGAGGAAGAAGGGGAGGAGGGAGGCGATGTGGCTGGGGAAAGGGAAGAGGCGGGCGTTGAGGCACCAGAGGACGAGGAGAGCGGAGGTGAAGATAATGATATTGATCATGAGTATGGCTTGGACAGTGACGATGACGACGACTTTGGCAGACACTGGGGGGGTAGTGATGATGACTAGGATGAAATGGATGGAAAGCGTGTCTGAAAGTAGGTTCGGTAGGCTCCAAAAGTTGGTGCGGTAGGTTGGACGTTGAGGATGGGGAAGGCGTGTATGGAAGTAAGCTCTAAGTGTTGAAGGGGAGTTGTGTTTTCGTCCCCTTACCAGGTGTGTGCAGTCAGCTACGTATGTGCAGCTTGATTCTTTAGAGGCGCCAGTGACCAACTGTAGCTTCCTCTTCGCAAGTTGAGAGATTGTAAAAGCGTGCAGCTTGTGCGGGTTTGTAGGAACATCCACATACTGTAGCCTTGGCTTGGTTGCAGAGAAGTTGGCCAATGTTTTGCTTCCATCATATACGGTACAGGTAACATGCTGGCCTGCACCAGGAACATGATTCTTCCACCTCAATACATCGCTCGCAGCCTAATGCTAGCTTTGTCTATCCAATTCACGTAAAAAATCAAGCCATCACCACTACTCGCTCGCACTACCCCACGACTTCTCTGGTTCAGGCGGAAACTTTGTACTCAGAAACTCTTTCTTGCGATGCATGAAATGCACCGCCAGGAACTGCACCGGCTCCGTCTGCGCCTCCTCCTCCCACCCGCGGTAAAACCCATAGTGCATCGTGCTCGGACACTTGTCCCCGGTTTTAAACTTGAAGAACGGGCGGCCGGGCGTGAGGGAGAAGTTGTTGTCAAAGACGCAGAGGCCGGGGTCGGACCAGGAGGAGTTGAGGCAGCGCCGCGGCTGGCAGAGGGATTGCACTCGGAAGCGCGGTTGGATGCCCCGCTTGCGGAGTGCCTTGGCGGTCTCGGGTTTGACGCCTGACACACATGGGGGCTCCACCCACTGCCATAGGGGTACATGCACCGGAAGGGTTAAGGGGGGAAGGGTGGAGATGAGATGGGTTGGCAGAGGGATTGCACGCAGAAGCGCGGTTGAATGCTGCGCTTGCGGAGGGCCTTGGCGGTTTTGGGTTTGACGCCCGACACACATGGAGGCTCCACCCACTGCCATGGAGGTGGGAACGGGAGCAGGGAATGAGGAGCAAACAAAAATAGGTTGTCAAAGACGCAGATGCCCGGGTCAGACCAGGAGGAGTTGAGGCAGCGCCGCGGCTGGCAGAGGGATTGCACTCGGAAGCGCGGTTGGATGCCCCGCTTGCGCAGGGCCTTGGCGGTTTCAGGTTTCACGCCTGACACACATGGAGGCTCCACCCACTGCTGTGAGGGGTTTTGGTGGTGGGGATGGGGATGCGAGTAGGGTTGTGATGGGAAGGGGTTTAGAGTGGGGGAAGCAGAGACGGCTGGAAGAGGGATTGCACTCAGAAGCGTGGTTGGATGCCCCGTTTTGCATGGAGGCTTGGAGATTTTGGGTTTCATGCCCGACACACTGCCGCGAGGGTGGTGGTGGTTGCAATGGGGTTGGGTTGGGGTTGGGAAGGGGTCAAGAGGGAGCGAAGCAGAGATAGCCTGGTATAGGAGCTGCAAGCGTAAATGGGTTTGGTAACATCCACAAATGAGGACAGCAAGACCGGATTCTGAGTCCTATCACCCCTTCACCACTCTCGAGCATTCTAAAACCCTCTCCATCAATCTCCAACCCTCTCCACCGCTTTCCTCTCACCTGCGGCCAGCAGCCAGCGAAGCTGTACCAGCTCAAAGTGGTGACATCAACACAGGATGGCGGCAGCACCAGGTCATAGGTCTCCCTTCAATCACCTCACACATTCACACACCACTCTCCACTGCTCTCTAGCCCTCGGCACTGCACTCCACCGCACTCCACCGCACTCAACCGCACTCCAACAGACTCAACCGCACTCCACCGCTCACCTGCAGCCAGCAGCCAGCAGCCACCGAAGGTGTACGAGCCCATAATGGTTACGTCAACATAAGAGGGCAGCGGCACGAGGTCCTGGGTGTCCCTTCATTCATCTTCTAATCCCACTGCTCTCTACCTCTCGCTACCTCGCTCCACCGCACTCAACCACTCTCCACTGCTCACCTGCAGCCAGCAGCCAGCGAAAGTGTACCACCCCATGATGGTAACATCCACGTAGGACGGCAGCAGCACCAGGTCTTGGGTCCTCTTCTAATCATCTCTATTTACCACTCAAACACCACTCCCCACTGCTCTCTAGTCCTCTCTACGGCACTTCACCGCTCTTGACCGCTCTGCACAGCTCTCCACCGCTCACCTGCAGCCAGCAGCCAGCGAAAGTGTACCAGCCCATGATTGTAACATCCACGTAGGACGGCAGCAGCACCAGGTCTTGGGTGTCCTTGTCTCCTCCGAACATGGCCGAGTCAAAGACAGCGTGCAGGAAGAGACACCAGTCCACCAGCGCTGCGTATGACATGAGGGCTATGTGCGTGCCCACTCCTGCAGGGAGGGGGGCATGGAGATGAGGGGAAGGGTTGAGAGACTAAGGGTATCGGACAGCATGTCAGGGTATGGGAGCAGCAGTGAGTGAACGAGAGCTTGCAGGAAGAGACACCCGTGGACAAGGGCTGCGTATGACATGAGGGCTATGTGCGTGCCCACTCCTGCAGGGAGGAGAAGGGATAGAGAGATTGGGAGGATGGGAACTTAATGCTACGTGTGTGGCAGATGCTGAAGAGTGTATGGGACTAGGAGCAGCGGCGAGTCGAAGACAAGGAGCAGGAAGCGGAAGAGAGCGAACGGGAGGAGAGAAAGCACTCGGCACCTACCTGCAGAGGAGCACTGAGTGGGCTCCAACGGAGGTCCGATGCTGGGACAGCGCGCAGGGAGAGGGTGAGAGGGAGGAGGGAAGCCAACCGCACCCACCTGCAGAGTAGAGCACGCAAGCTGGGCTGTGAGCTCACCTGCAGAGTAGAGCACGCAAGCTGGGCTGTGAGCTCACCTGCAGAGAAGAGCACGCAAGCTGGGCTGTGAGCTCACCTGCAGAGGAGTACTGAGTGGGCCTCAAGGAGGCCTGATGCTGGGCCTGGGCCAGCGCGCAGGGAGAGCGAGGTCAGAGTTAGGGAAGAGCCATGCCGCCACCTGAGAGGACGCAAAAAAGAATAGCCAGGAATACAGGGGTCCGAATAAAGGGAGGCAGTTAGAGGGAGTGGGATGCAGTGGGTGGGGAATGCTGGGCAAGCAGGCCGGCAAAGCGAGGGCGGAGTAGGGATGGTGTTGGGGAGAGAGAGAGGGAAAAAGGCACACAGCCACTCGAGAAGGCACTGCAAGGAGAGAGAGAGGGAGGGGGGCAGTGGCGGGAAACGCAAGAGAGAGAGAGAGGGAGGGGGCAGTGGCGGGAAACGCAAGAAGAGAGAGAGAGGGAGGGGGGCAGTGGCGGGAAACGCAAGAAGAGAGAGAGAGGGAGGGGGCAGTGGCGGGAAACGCAAGCGAGAGAGAGAGAGGGGAGGGGCAGTGGCGGGAAACGCAAGAAGAGAGAGAGAGGGAGGGGTGGCAGTGGCGGGAAACGCAAGAAGAGAGAGAGAGGGAGGGGGGCAGTGGCGGAAAAACGCAAGAGAGAGAGAGAGGGAGGGGGGGCAGTGGCGGGAAACGCAAGAAGAGAGAGAGAGAGGGGGGCAGTGGCGGGAAACGCAAGAAGAGAGAGAGAGGGAGGGGGGCAGTGGCGGGAAACGCAAGAAGAGAGAGAGAGGGAGGGGGGCAGTGGCGGGAAACGCAAGAAGAGAGAGAGAGTCCACAAGAACTGCTTTTGAGTCGACTCAAAAGAAGAGAGAGAGTCCACAAGAACGCGGATTAAAGGGAGACCACAAAGCAGCGAGTGTTGGTGTAAGACGACAAAATGTGGTGAAAGGTGCTGGAAAGGGTGGGAACTGCTGGAAAGGGTGGAAACTGCGAAAGGGGTGGAAACTGCTGGAAAGGGGTGGAAACTGCTGTCGGAGAAGGGGGAGCGCTGCGCTGTTGTGGGCACCTGGGAGGCATTGGCGAGAGCATGACTTCGGTGGCGAGGTGGAATATGCGTCCGTAGTTGTGGCGCTCCATGAACTTCTTTAGTATGAACCATCGCACCTGATGGAAAGGTAGGGGGAAATGTTGGAGGAAGAACAATGATCAGGGGGAGTGGGAGAGTGGGCGAGGTGGAATATGCGACTGTGGTTGTGGCGCTCCAGAACTTCTTTAGGTGAACCAACGGACCTGATGAAGGGGAGGGGGAGAGGATGGAGGAGCGGGAATAGAACAGCGATCAAGGCAGAGTGGGAACGTGAGAGTGGAGGAATATGCGTCCATAGTTGTGGCGCCCATGAACTTCTTGAGTATGAACCAGCGCACCTGATGGGGAGAGGGGAGTGGATGGAAGAAAAAACCAAAAAAAAAACTCCCATGTTTCCTGTGAGTAGATTCATATACTCACGACGCATTTCTCAAACGAGTCACAGTTGAAATGCTTCGAAGTGACCTATTTGAACCCATATGCACAAACCCACAAAGCTTGCACCCCTCCATACTCACGTCCACGTGGACTGGAGTGCTAAGGCTGTACATTGTTACCTTTCCAGGAATAAACTCACGTGCACGTCAACTGGAGCCCCAAGGTTGCGGATGAACCACTCGTACACCTCCTCGTACTCCGCATGCTCCTCGAACGCCACCTCAAACGACCGTTATACTCCTTCACACTCCTACGCACTCACATGCACGTCCACGGGAGTCCAAGGTTGCGAATGAACCACTCATACACCTCCTCGTACTCCGCATGCTCTCGAAGGCCACCCCCATGTGGAAGAAAAACTGCCGACACTCCGAGGGGCCGATGAAATGCACCGCGTTGTTGTGCTTGCGCGCCTGGTCAGGGAAGCACAGGAAAGAAAGCAGAGGACTTTTGAGACGTCTCAAAACTGGTCAGGGAAGCACAGGCAGAGAAAGCAGAGTTTGAGACGTCTCAAAAGTCGGGGACGCACAGGCAAAGTTGACTTTTGAGTCGACTCAAAAGTCAAGTCGGGGAAGCACAGGCAGAGAAAGCAGAGGAATAAAAAAGTGTGTATAGTATAGTGTATTTCGTGTTCAGTGCCTGTTTCATGTTACAGACAGTAACTCAGTAGCTCATGAGAGAAAAATTAAATAAATTTATGAATGGATACCAGATTCAAATCAACATCTCACCTCGGAGACTACTTTATAGACATAATGCGACTTATGGCAGGGC